ATGATGTGATTTTTGTCCTTTTTGTTGATGTGGTTTATGATGTTGATTGATTTTTGAATATTGTACCATCCTTGCATCCGTGGAATAAATCCCACTTGGTCATGATGGATGATCTTTTTGATGTATTTTTGAATTCAGTTTGCTAATATTTTGTTGAGGATTTTTGCAACTATGTTCATCGGGGATATTGGTCTGTAAATTTTTTTTGTGGTATCTTTGGTTTGGTATTAGAGTGATGCCAGCTGGCCTCACAGAATGAGTTGGAAGTATTCCCTCCTCTTCTACTTTTTTGAATACTTTAAGAAGGATGGGTATTAGCTCTTCTTTAAATGCTTGATAAAATTCAATCATGAAGCCATCTCATCCAGAAATTTTTTTAATCTATGCCACATTTTGATAAAGTACCCTTCCCATCTTCTCACCAAATCCCCAAGTCTGTTAGGTCCTTAGAGGCCTACTATAGCACACTCAGCAAACACATTAGAAGTTATTGTATCTTTGGGGTTTCCTCACCAGCCCAAGCACACCTATTAAACTTTACGTTTAGGGGTTCTATTATTAAATCATTTTTTTTTCATTTTACAAAAATAAAACTTCCCTTTATTTTTTAAAGTGCCTTTTTCAAACCATACCCACATGCTATCCCAGAGATTCTGCCATGGCCCTCCCACAAGGGGCATGTTTCCTAATTGAGAATTACCAACTCTATCCAATCTTCTCTTGATTGAGACTTTGTACCTTTTCATTTCACAAGTCTTCACTTTGGCAAGAACTGAGCTTAATGAATTCACATAACATTTAACCATTTAATTTGTTCATTCCATTCAATTTGTATCCTCTCTATTCTATTTAACAAGGTTGAGGCAGGAAGGTACAAACTATAAATAATAAAAAGAATGAATAACTTATACAGCACCGGAGTTTTGGTCATATAGTATAAATAAGTATATTAACATGGATTCCTGCTTTTCCCAGAACTCTGCCAATTTTATTTAAAATGAGAAGGAAAAAAAACTTGATTGTTAGAGAAATGAAAATAAACATTTCAGTGAAATCAATCTGAACTGTCCTAACACGTTCATTTATCAAGGTAATTTAAAAATACTGTAATAAATAGTGTCAGAAATGAAAGATTATAATTAGCATGGAAGGAAAGACAAGAGGATTAAACATTTAAGAATATTTTGAAGTTGGTATGTCTGAACTAAGTCAATTGTTTTATTTTTTCTCAGTTTCACTTCCTCTTACTGTATCAGTATACCAGTGATGTAAAAAATATGGATATTCTGAAGAGACTCAAAGAGCAAAAGACCAGTGATAATAATTATGGTTTTCTTTAGTGGCACTTCTCAAACTGGGAAGCCTATGCTTTCGCAAATTCATCTCATAAATAACATATACAGCTAGCTGAAATGCAAAGCTGGATTCCTTTAAAAATTGTAATTTTGGAAATCTTGTATTTAATTATTTTTTAAAAGGTGATATAATATTTCAAAATCTAAGTATATATACTCTTAAGCTAAATATTTAAGAAATACATTGCTTACAGTGAAAAAAATAAAAGTTGTTTCAGCTTTGGAAATGAGTATCTTATGATTATCAACTTCTCTAAATTCTACAAGATGTTAATAGATAGGCTCACATTTTAAGTTTTGTAAGTACTGAATACTATATATACACCCATTTTTTAGTGTTACTGCACAGTGAACAAAACTGTGAGAAATTGTGTAATTAAAAAAACCCCAATCAATGAAGCTACCTACCTAACACAGAGGTTCCCAAATAACATATAGGTGGTCAGAGAAGACTTTATTTACACCAATGTGGGCAGTACTTACTGTTCCCAATAAAGGAATGAATAAAGGTAAAGATTTACAATAAACAAAGAGGAACAAGTAGGAAATGAATTCTTCTGTGCTTATTATTATTTCTTTTTCCCTGAAACTACTCATGGTTAAAATGCTTCCACCTTTAGGTTAGCATTCTCCAGATAGCAATATATTTATAAAACCAATAATTTTATGGCTCACAGAAGGAAAAGCATATTAAAAGCAAAGTTGTTGGAAAACCACAATAAATCTTGATTCTTTCATGACTTCATAATAAATAACCTGAATTAATACTTTCAAGAAAGCACAAGTTGCCTGGTTTATCAATAAGGAGATGAAAATCTTATTGAGAATTATTTGGCATTCTCTTTTCTTACACCATGCACTTTCTTTTTTTTTTCCTTATCAGCAGTAAGCATTTATTAAGCAGTTACTACACACTGCTATTTTTTTCTGCACCATGCACTTCGATTTAAGACTCTAACTCTTGTAAAAAACAGTAAGAGCACTAAATGAATGGTCTCATTTTTGCCGAGGAAAACACATGCTTTATTTAAACATTAAAGGTTATCAGAGTATTATGAAAATCGAGAGGGGGCTATTTCACAAAGAAACCTAGAACAATATCTAAGAAGGTAACTGGAAAAGTGTCTGTGAAGTGTGGAGAGCATCCCTTAGGGCTCAAGTGGCCAACAGAGAGTATGTGGAGGAATGTAAATGGCTCTGGAGAATGAGTTAAAACTCTTTCCGTAGCATCTGTCTTTGGGCACATTTCTCTGCTATTTGTGGATTCAATGCTAAAAGTTAAGACAAGCTTGACGCTAGCTGGACTCTGCTCAAATCTGCCTTTTTCTCAAATTCCATCAGAGACACTGAGTGTCTGAGTTTGGACATTTTTTTCTCTCTTTAATTACTAGTAAGAGGAATTAGAAAATTATAAACCAATTTCTGATGTTATACCACAGGTACCTATTTCCCATTCTAGAAGCATGTGGTCTAAAAGCAAATAATGAGATGAACTAATGCTACCATCCTTCCTAGGTATCAGAATAATTCTTACAAAGATCAGCCACTTCTCCATCTTTCCAGGACTTTCATGACCACATCTCCTGTTTGTTCAGTAAGCAAGAGCACTCATCAGAGACAGAAACACTCAGAACCCAACAATATCTGCCATTAAAGGCTCTTTTTAGTATTTCCTATAGATGGGCTACAATCTACATATGTTCAAGTATAGAGGCATTGCTATTATAGTATAATCTATGCATTACCATAGTATTATTTATGTCTAAGTAGGCCATCTGACAGTAGTTGATGGAAGAGCCCATTTCCTTAGCTAACCCTAAAATTTATTACCCTTTACTTTTAAGATATTAAAGGATTGCCAGTTTAAGATAGATGCAAATTTTTTAGAACATGATTTGTCAGGACCTAACAAAAACTTCAAGTGCATACCAAATAACCATTCCATTTCTGGAATACTAGCATGAGTACACGGATGCATCTACAAGGGTGTCCTATACAACAGCATCTGTAATAGTAAAAATACTCGAGATCATCTAAATTGCCATAAACAGAGGAACACCTGGCAACCACTAAATAAAAACCAAGTAAATCTGTACATATTGACATATAAAGATATCTACCATATACCCTTGAGTAACATGCATTATTACATAATGCTATTTTGGTTAAAAAAAAGACACATTAAAAATTATGTGTTTGAAAATATACAGAAAAAGATCTAGAAAGATAGGGAACCAAACTGTTGACAGTTCAAACCAATGATTACTGAGATTGGGAAGTGGATAAAAGGGGAACTTAAAATTTCACCTTACATACACTGCTACAATTCAGGTTTTTCTTACATAAGCATGTATTATTTCTACTATTTAAAATATCTCAGTTCAAAAATTAGGTGAAATGAGCCATAATTTCAATGAAATACAAATAGAGAAGAACATTTACCTTTTCTGAAGCAATCTGGTAACTTAATCACCTATCAATTTTGAACTAATGATTTTAAGAAATTTGTTTCCATTGGAAATTATAAGTTTTTAAGAAGTCCTTTCATTTTACATGATCTAAGTTAAAATTTTAAAAATTGTACTGCTCTACTTTGATTCATTAGTAATAACTTATGGCATTAAGTTTAATACCCACTCTCTTCTGATATGAACCCTGTCTCGGTCTTCTCTAAAAAAGAATGTAGCTGGGAGGGTGGTCTTAATTCATTTTCATCAAGTATACCCCCAGAATTCTTGACAATAGTTCTGTTCTCTGTTAATGTCATAAATGCTAAAATGAAAGAAGAAAAAAATTAAGCCATTAAGTGAAAAGTCCTACTTATGACATATTTACTATTTTAACAAATGTTACTGAGCATCTAATTTGCATTATGTACAAATCTGTTATGTTCACCCCCGTTTTAAGTCTTCAGAGCTATATGCTAAATTTTCTCTGCATAAAATGAAATGCTTCTCATCTAACATAATTTAAGTTTTAAAGAAAATTTTGTTCACAGAAATGAATTATGTTATATAGGAATCATTTCTGCCTCACTGAAAATCTTTCAAAAGCAACAGTAGACTGTAAAACTACATCCATATTCTACTGGTTGGTGGTAATAAAATCAAATAGAAAACAATTAGGTAAATCTCTCCCCACCCCCAAATTAGTAGTATATGATCATCCAGGCATTAAATAAAACTATTAGTGGTGCCTATTACATATCCAGTACTATGCTATACCCTGAATTAAAAACGACAACAGAAACAGTCTCAACAAAGAAAGCTCTTAGACTAGAACAGAAAACCTATAAAGAAACCAGTACTATAAATGTGTAGAAGAATCTAGAACATGATATAGTGGGAGTACTATGGTACAAACAACCAATTTCACTGAGATAAGCATATGTCAAGGTTGCAAAGGCACTGATACTTGAAGAGTAGGTATTCAAATGATAAGGAAGCAAAACAGGCACTAACGTGTGAGTTTTCTAGGCAGTAGAAATAGGAGCAGATGCAGAAGTACAAACAACCACACATAAAGAACTGCAGGTAGTTTATTATTTGACGAATTAAATATGCTTAAAAAATGGCAGGTATAGTTTTGTAATAGTACATCCTTTGTCAGAAAGGATTTGCGACAGAATTGTGTGGATATATTCAAGACCCCTCAGAAAAAGTAGCAATATTGATATTTATTCATTATGCAAATAAGTTATTTATGTCAAAAGGTGAGAATTAAATGGAGAATCAGGAGACAGGGCTTTGGTGCAGGCCTACTTAGAACTTGTTCTGAGACCTTAGTGTGATGATGATGTTGACTGCCTCCCCATCACACCCCTTTTTCTTCCCCTCCCCAAACCACAACTTTTCTTTTCCTGGTATTAGGTGATCCCAAGCTTCAGGAGAGCTTTGGGAGCAGGTGTGTATGTGAATCTTAATTACTCTAAGCTCATTATGGTAATTTCACTCTTTGGCTAGTGATTACTTCAGGAATAAACATGTGACTCAATTCTGGCCAGTGAGATCTGGATGGATGTCTACAGAGAGAATTCTAAGAAAGCTTTCTTACAAAAGGACAGGACAAAAAGATACACTCTTCCTGCCTCCCACCTTTTTCTAGCTTAGGGCCTTGTCTGACAAAGCGTGTGTTGCCTGGAACTCCCTGCAACCAAGATGGGACTGGTCGGCCAACACACCGAAGATGGAACAAAATCTAGATGCAACATACAGAATCTAGATGAACCTCAATGAACTAGCCTGGAGTGACCCCACCTCTGAATCTTTTGATACATGAAACAATAAGTGTTCCTTATTGTTTAAACTGCTTTCATTGGCAGCTGAAAATATACTATTTATTCTCTCTAAAGCCTCATTTAATTGTAATTATCTTTTGAAGGTTCCTTTCAGTTCTAACACTGTCTGTACAAACTACCTTACTGAAGACCTGTTAGGTTATGAAACACTGCACCACACTAGGTAATTTATCAAATCCCTCTTCTATTTCTTGCCATCCACAGAGACATTTATCCTACCAGGTATTTTTATTGGCAAGGAATCACAAAAGTTAACATCCATGAAAACTTGAAACTTAAAATGTAAGGTATTTAAAGCCTCTGACTGCTTGATTCCCACCTACTCAATACATCTTATCTCCCTCCCCTGCACAAGGGCAAAATACTCTTGACTCAGATCCCTCTTCATGGAAATTTTCCTCATTAGTTATATACAGTCTAATTTTCACACCCCTCACCTGCTTCATGTCTAAGTTTTCCTCATATTTGAAGCCTAGCCCAAGAAGCAGCTTCTCTGATGTCTTAAGATTTTCTGGCTTGCATGAATTACTCTTCACAAGTGTTCCACAGATACTTGCCATCATCTTTCTATATGCATAGCTCTGCACTGGAGAACACTGAACACCAGACACCTATTTAAAAGAGAGCCTTTGAACATTTAGGTCATAATTTTCTAATTATGTATGAAATACAGTGTCTTGCCAATAGGTTTCAGCCCCAGGCAAGTTCACTATGGATTCAAAGTGACCAAAGAAAATGACAGTAAAAGGTTCTTGGGGTGAAAGGGTTATAGCGAACTTTATTTTCACGCTGGCAGATCAATCACTAAAATCCTGTTCACTTAGAGTGAGTCTGCATGCCGCAAGCCAGTCTCTGCCTCTGGGCCCCTCTGCCCACACAGCCATCCTCTGGGCCTCCCTGTCTGCACAGTCATCCTGCATAACTGTCCTCTGGGCCTCTGTCCTCGGTGCTGCCACCACTCCAGCCTTTGCTCTGCTCTCCTGCAGCCTTGTAGCCATGCCACTGTATTGCCCCAGAGCACTGGGTAGAGCTCTTTATATAGAGTCAATAGTAATGTTTTGCCCACACGTGTGCAGTGAGCAAGTCAACTAGGGCCAGGTGAGAATCCTGGCCACAGGAACTCTCATTTTATCCACACTCCACCCCTCCAGGATTCTCTCCTCTCAATCTTTGTGCCCTCAGTCCTCTGCAATGGTCCCTGTGCAAGGAAGCTCGAACATTGTTCTCCAGCCTCTCCAGCATAAAGTCTAGCAGACACACAGGCTGATCTTGTTGCTCTGTCTCTGACCTCTGCCTCTTTGGTCTTAATGGCTGGAACTGCTGCTCTGGTTTCAGTTGCTGCCATAGCTCTAGAAAGATCCTATCTGACTTCCCATCTAATTTCCTTCCATTTGCTCCTGCCAGTATTAAATCAACCCACATCTGGGTCCTTGTAACCTTCATGGGGCCCTTTAAATTCTTCTTGTGAGTAGAAGACCTTATTTCTCTCCATGTTCTCACTGCTTCAGCCTCTCCCATGTCTGCTACTGTACATGTCACCTCGCTTATAGGATGCCCTAAGTGAGGGGAAAGAATGGCCACTAGAGACCTAAAGAGGGATGTGGGAGCCGTTTGAAGCTCAGTATTTTTCATCCCAGTAGTGAAAGTCTCTTCATCTGGGTCATAATTCTCTGGGCTACAGATGGCATTTCTTATGCCTAGCTCTCATAACACCTGTTGGAGCTCAGCATATGTCTGCCATCTAACAGGAGAGGATGATTGATCATCCTGATTGGGCCACACTGCATGAAGAGCAGCCTTACACCAACTGAGGGGGAGTGATTCCCTGGGGTCTAATGTGCATTTTGTAATCGCTGCCTCAAGGTGTGCCACACTGTCAGGGAAGCCAGCTTTCCCATCTCTGATCCCAAGAGAACAATTTCATCCACCCCTAAGTCCCAAAGATATAGGAGCACAGCTGATATTGACTCTGAGGGCTTCTGCCTAAATGGGGAGCCCAAATCCAACAGCTCAGCCTGAGTATAAGGGTGCAACATGAGTGCTCCATGACCTGAGGAGGGCGCTACTCTTCTCCTTGGGGAACTTTCAGCTGCTGGGTTTTATTTTCTTTACAACCACTGGGCGTACTTTCAATACAGGAGGGGTCAGTGCCTCGGGCACCACCCCTTCATCCTTCCCCAGCTCCTCCATTTCCAGGACTGATGGGACCTTTCTCTCCCCTCCCCCGAGCGCCTCTTCTGCTACAACCTTTACCATTTCTACTGTGCCTTGCAGCAATGCTAGCTCAGTCTTCAGCAGCTCTCTTACCTTCACCTCAGTGCTTCGCAGCTGGCATTCTTATGCCACCTCCGCCTGTGCTTCCCTCAGGAGTTCGTCTTTTTCCTTGATGGCCTTTTCCTCCTTCAGGGCATCTGGCAGTGCCGCCGTCTCATTCTGTAAGGAATCTTTTACCTCTTTAACGGCACCTTGCTGCCAGTGTTCTCGTGCTGCCTCCTCTCACATCAATGCCATTTCCTTCTTCAGGGAATCCACAGAAGTTTGCATCTTGTGTTCTTGTGCCGTCATTTCTGGGGTCTTTTTCAGGAGCATGTCCTTCTCTTCTGTAGACTTTTTTAATACTGTGAGAAGCAGCCAACCCACAGTTCCCACCGCCTCACAGATACTCTCTCTCTCAAAAGCCCTACTTACTATAACAAGGGCTATTGCTACTGCCTCGGGTATCACCTCTACTTGCCTCCAGTCGTGGGGTGGGGCCCCGTCTTCTAGGAGGCAAGCTACCTCTGACCACATATCCATTGGGGGACAATCTGCTGTCTCCCCATTCACAGGGGCAGCCCGCAGAAGCACCCCTCCCATAAGGGCAGCCTGTCTTTTTCCTTGGTCAACAGTGAACCCTGCTGACTTCGCCAATTGTCTTGCCAATGGATTTCAGCCCCCGGCAAGGTCACTATGGATTCAGTGTGACCAAAGAATATAACAGTAAAACGTTCTTGGGGTAAAAGGGTTATACCCGTTTATTTCCACGGTGGCAGGTCAATCACTAAAATTCCGATCACTCAGAGCGGGTCTGCATGCAGCAAGCNCTTGCAGCCATGCCACTGTGTTGCCCCAGAGTACTGGGTGGAGCTCTTTATATAGCAGTGAGCTAGTCAACCAGGGCCAGGTGAGAATCCTGGCCACAGCAACTCTCATTTTATCTACATACAGGAATTGTGTTTAGGACAATATCTTCAGGCTGAAGAGAGGCGGAGGGAGTGGAAGAAGTGATTAAGCGCATGAGCTTTGGAATCAAAAGGGCTTGGCAAGACAAAATTTTGAATCCCAGTCTTTCTAGCTTTGTGACTTTGAGCAAACTATCTAAACTTTCCTCCTCTTCTTTCTAAAAATAAATCTCAACAAAGCATCTACAGTAAATACAAAGCCAAATACCTCCAGGCTTATCATTCACTGGCCCCACCCTCCCTGGGAGCCTTTATTTCCATTTCTCTTAGGTGACCACTTCCAATGTTAGCTGTATCTTCTGATATAACCTCATGTTTCTAAATAAAAGACCTGTATAAATGTTAGACATTCCTTTAATGAAAACACCTCCCTCCTAACCACACACATTAAAAGAACACTTTTCCTTCCTATCTTCTTATAGTTATATCATGACTTCTTATATCAGTATTTAATGTTTCACTAAATTGTATGCATTAACATGACTGGGACACGCTAGGTAGTTAATTTCCTTTCTTACATGGTATTTTGTTTCTATAAATTTCAAATTGTCTCTGTTTGATTTTCAGTTACAAATCGTCATTTCAGCCTAAAATTCTTGTAAAGAACTAAAACACTGAATAGATAGATACATCAAATGTTTTTGGAGACATCCTTCACAGTACTATGTTGGCCATCTTCAGTCTGGACTTGTGCCTCCTAATACTACTGCCTAGTTTTGTGAGCTTGCTAGTAATGGTGAAATACAGCACTGACCTATCGCTGTTCAATATAATCCCAGACTGCAGAAACTGACAACCTGATCCTAAAACTTACATGGCAATTCAAAGGATCTGGAACAGTCAAAACAATTTGAGAAAAGAAGAAAGTTGAAGGACTCACCACTTGATTTCAAGAATCACTGCAAAGCTAAAGCTATCGAGGCTGTAATGATGATGTACAGATCACAGATCAATGGAACAGAACAGTGAGATGGATACTGACTTTAACAACACTACCAATATAATTTAAAAGGTTCTACAATAAGCAAAATGGGGAAAAAACATGAACCTCATCCCTACCTCAAATCATAAAATTCAACTGGAACTGAATCATAGACCTAAACATAAAAGCTAAAACTATAAAGTTTCTAGGAAAAAATCATAGGAAAAAATCTTAAGAATGGGACATGTAAAGATTTCTTAGGGCACAAAAATCAGTTTCCATAAAAGAAAAACTGATACACTGGACTTCATGAGAATTAAAACCATCTCATCTTCAAAAAACATCATTAAGAAATTGAAAAGATTCATGAAAGACTTGTATCCAGAATATATACAGAACTCTTAGACACACCTTGTAAAAGATTTATTAGTGGAAAGTAAGACATGGGAAAATGGTCAACATTATTAGTTACCATGGAAGTGGTAATTAAAACCACAATGAAATACTACTCACCCACTAGAATGACTAAAATTAAAAAGAAAATACTGAGTGTGTTAGCAAAGATGAGGAATAACTAGAACTCTTATACATTCCTGGTAGGAATATAAAGCTATGTAGCCAATTGGGAAAATAGTTTTGTCAATTTCTGATAAAGTTAAACAAGCACCTACTCATATAACCGAGCAATTTTATTCCTATTTACCCAAGAGAAATAAAACCTATGTCCATAAAAAGATTTGTACATGAATGTTCAGGGCAGCATTATTCATAGTAGGCTAAAACTACAGTAGATAAATCTAAAGTTCATCAACAGGTAAATGCATAAACAAACTATGGCACATTCATATACCATATGATATATACATGAATCTCAAAAAAACTGGGCAGAAGAAGTCAGACATAAAAGTACACACTGTGTACAGCAAAGGACACCACCAATAGAACAAAAAGGCATCCTACAGTATGGGAGAATATATTCATAAATGACAGATCCAGTAACAGGTTGACATCTAAAATATATAAAGAGCTCACGCACCTCAACAAACAAAAAGCAGCTGTACAGACAGTTCTCCAAAGAAGAAATTCAGATGGCCAACAGACATATGAAAACATGCTCCACATCGCTAGTCATCAGAGAAATGCAAATTAAAACCACAATGAGATATCACCTCACACCAGTAAGGATGGCCACCACTCAAAAGACAAACAACAACAAATGTTGGTGAGATTGTGGAGAAAGGGGAACCCTCCTACACTGCTGGTGGGAAGGTAAATTAGTTCAACCATTGTGGAAAGCAGTATGGAGGTTCCTCAAAAAGCTCAAAATAAAAATACCATTTGACCCAGGAATTCCACTCCTAGAAATTTACCCTAACAATGCAGCAGCCCAGTTTGAAAAAGACAGATGCACCCCTATGTTCATTGCAGCACTATTTACAACAGCCAAGAAACGGAAGCAACCTAAGTGCCCATCAGTAGATAAATGGATAAAGAAGATGTGGTACATATACACAATGGAATATTATTCAGCCATAAGAAGAAAACAAATCCTACCATTTGCCACAACATGGATGGAGCTAGAGGCTATTATGCTCAGGGAAATAAGCCAGGCGGAGAAAGACAAGTATAAAATGATTTCACTCATCTGGTGGAGTATAAGAACAATGAAAAAACTGAAGGAGCTTAACAGCAGCAGATTCACAGAACCCAAGAATGGACTAACAGTTACCAAAGAGAAAGGGATGAGGGAGGATGGGTGGGAGGGGAGGGATAAGGGGGAGACAAAAAGAAAGGGGACATTATGATTAGCATGTATAATGAGGGGGGTAACAGGGAGGGCTGTACAACACAGAGAAGACAAGTAGTGACTCTATAGCATCTTACTATGCTGATGGACAGAGACTGTAATGGGGTTTGTGGGGGGAACTTGGTGATGGGGGAAGTCTAGTAAACATAATGTTCCTCATGTAATTGTAGATAAATGATACCAAAAAAAAAGTACACACTGTAGGATTCCATATATACAAAATCTTACAATTGGCAAATCAAATCTACAGCAATAATCATTATCAATAGTTGCCTGGGGTAGAGGGTAGAAAAAGGGAAATTGATTGCAAAAAAGGGAAACTTTTCCGAGTGAGGTAGGCACAAACACACTTTATGGGTGTGGTGGTTACGGGGTGCATACATTTATCAAAATTCATTTAACTATATACTTAAAATGTGTTCAGTAGTAAATATTGACACTGACATAGTACAGAACACAGTCTCTGACCAAAATCCAGGAAAATCACAATGTGATCACAGAAGTTAATCCCAAGAGTCCTATGTATGGAAATTACAACAAATGAACTCTAGTTATAAATGGTTCATAAGTTAAAGAACATAAGTAAATATAAAAGGGCTTGAACTGAATGACAATGAAAATAAGACCTACCTAAATTTAGATGCATCTAAAACACAAAGGAAATTAGTTTTAAATGCACATATTAAAGAAAAACTTCTGAAAATCAATGACCCCCAGAGTCAATTTAAGAAATTAGAAAGCAGAGAAACAGTAAATTTGAAGAAAATAAAGGAAGAGAAAAAGTAACAGAGATCAGAAATTAATTAAACGGAAGTAAAAGGAAGCACAGAGCAGGAAAAACAAAGATTAGTTCTTTGGGGAAAAAGATGTTATCTCCTGCCAAATTAATTCTTTAAAAAGGGCACATGAAACAACCTTGGGAATAAAAAGGGGTGTGATTTATAGATACATAAAAGATGAAAGATAGAAACCATTTTATGACAAAAACAGAAATAATAGGTAACATGGGAAAATTTCCTATAAATAATGTAAGTTATTGAAACCTACTTAAGAAAACTAAAACACTGTAATATTCCTGTAACTATTAGATAATTAATACAGTGGTTTAATTGTTATAGGTACATAAAACTCAGGCCCAGAAATCTTCCACATAAAAATTGTTCTCAAGAACAGAAAACAGTACATCTTAAATTACAAGGCTAGCACACAACCTTGAGACAAGAACAGTTACAAAAGAAAAGTTTAAAGTAGTATCATCAATGAAAATATATGTAAAAATGTGAAATGAAAATATTAAAAAAGCTAAAATACATCACTATATGCACCACACAAAATCTGACCATGTAGGCCTTGTGCCAGAAACTCAAAGAAGGCTTAACACTACAAAATCTGCTCTTGTTAATTCACCACACTAATGGTTTAAAGAAAAACTTAGGCCTTGGTAGACAGAAACAGCACTACATAAAATTCAACAGCAACTGGTGATTAAAAACATTTGCAGTAAACAGACTACTTTGGGTGATAAAGGGATATACAGGAAATACCCTAATACATAATGGTGACATTAAAAATAGTACTCCCTTTAACAGTAGGAAGACAAAGATCTCTAATTATACCTTCTAATGAACTCCAGGATTTTAGTGGTCAATTTCTTGGCTCAAGTTTCTTTTCTCATTTACTGATCCCCTGGAGTTTGTCTTCTAGTTGTTTCCACAAGAAAGGTTCATGTAAAAAAGATCTGAAGCCTTGAAAAAAGGACTATCTGAAGTTTTACATAAGCATAGATATAATCTGTGGGAAGTAAAGCTATTTTCATTATGGACAAAAAGATCTGCCATAATCCTAAGTAGCAGCAAGTTAGTCTTTTTTTTTTTTTAAATGAAGAGCAAACAAATGCAAATAGTATTTCCCATAAACCAACAATAGAGAGACCCATAAAACTCAGCATTCCTATTAAAAATCAGAAAATGCTATAGAATGAGAAACGCACAACTTTCATAAAAAGTTTAAAAGACATTTAAAAATCTACCATGTACACAAGTTTAAATGTTTTCCAAAGAAACACCCGAGGTACCCCACCCCCCGCCCCCTCTACCCCACACGCGGGACAACTGTGCCAAGTGATGCCCTGTCCAGCAGTTCTGCAGGCTTCCCGAAACCTCAACGGCAGAACCCGAGGGGAGCTAGGGGTCTGGGTGCTTCGCGAACCTATCCGAACCATTCTCGGGAGTCACCCCTGCCTGCGGGACCCCAAGACCACCTCCCGCAGCCCGCGGAGGTAGGCGCCCAGCCTGGGCCCGCTCGGACTACCTAGGCCTCACACCATAGTGCGCGGGGTAGGGACTGTGCCTCCGGGGGCTGCCGTGGCCTGAGGCTTCAGGCCAAGCGTTAGCGGTTGCGGCAGCGCGCGCGGGCTGCGCCTTTTTAAAGTCAATGAGGGTGGCAGATCTTGAGTCAGCACCTGGACACACCCATGGGTACCGGGAGCCACGGGAGCTAGTCTGGTTCGATGGCGGGAGGAGCCCGGGCCGCTGGTTCTGGAGTCTCGCAATACCCCCACGTGGACGGTATTGTTATAAACTGCGATTGCTCCAAACTTCAGTTTCCTCAAGGGTCTTTCCCGCAGGCGCCCAGTAACAAGGCCTGACTGCAAATTCCAGTCCTAATCCATAATCCAAGTCTTCGCTACAGTTACTCCAAGTTATTCTAACTCATTGCCCCTGTAAAGCTTTTCCCATTGTCTATTTCAACTCCCCGCTATGGTTTCATGGGGTTTTTAGTTCACAAAAATAATGGCCTACTGAGTATGGTTTTTAACACTCCATGTATCCCCGAAATGCTAATACCAGCACATAGGGTCGGGGTGGCATGCTCGTCCCTGCTAATAAGTCTCACAGGTGTAACCAAGTCCACCAAAACCAAAACTGAACGGGTTGGAGGGGTTGCTGAAGTATTTAGCCAGACCTAAAGACATCATTACTTTTCACTCATGTTTTAACAGTGCAACCTACATTTGCTAGAGGAAAATCTAATCAGGGCGTGTAGACAATCATTACTGTTGTGTTGTACGTATAGAAAATATAGGAAAACCTGAACTCACATAGCAAATTACTTAAATTCATAAAGAATCATGTAGATTAACTATGTACTATTTAAAAGGACAAATCACTTTGGTGTTTAGTATATCCAATGGGGAAGAAATTACTTTTTAAAAAAACATTTATCAGGGATTACATCCATTGTGTAAAATGACTTATACCTATGTATTATGACTTTTTCATTTAATTGTGGCTTACTGACTTTTAGATTTAGTGTTCAATTTTTGAAGACTGTTTCAACATTCAAAAATCCAGTCTGACTGTAAAAAGTGCTTCTGTATATCAAACAGCTTATAATTTTATACCTATCAAATTTTGTTTTCTTTCTTGCAGTGCTGTATCAAGAGATTTTTTGGAGACCATACTTTCCATAGTCAAGATTAGGCACCTTTTATTAGAATGATTTCAAAGTTTATATGGTGTTATTTTTTTAGACAACTGTATGGAGTGACCTCTGTTCTGGCTCCTCAAAATAGATTTACTAATTTGTGCTTTAGCATTAAATTATCAGCCTGCAAAGAAATGGCTGTATTAAACTCATTATTGTATTTATTACAAGGACATTGTTAAGTAGTTTTGTCCTTCTTTCCTAAGACTAAATTTCTCTCAGGGACAATTACATTTTGAGACCTGCTTTGGATTCTTTTGATTATTACATATGACAAAAGAGAAAACGACACCCACTCCATGCCACCTCAAAGATGATTTTATTACCACTATCCTTAGGTATATATCCCATCCCACATTCCTGGGCAAAGAACAGATTTGTTCAGAGAGGGGAGAACCCAGGGTGAAACAAGTGCTTCGACTGCTCAAACTAGGCCTCAGGAGTTGGGGTCTTGAATATTTTTTCTCCTAATGAGGGAGCAGGTGTACCCAAAGGTTCTAAACAGAGTCTATTACGCCATGCCAAGGAGGGTAGTAAACCTTGACAAAGAATATTAGCAAGGGATTTACTTCTCCAATTACGTATTATTAAAATCTTATTAAGGGAAAACAGAAAGCAGACACATTTCTTATGATAAAAGTACTAATTTTAGAAAGAGAGGCCAAATTTTTTTAACAAATAAAATCAAGAAAAAAATTAAGTATCAGGAACAAAAAGGATACAACAACAAATATAGGGAAAAGACCAAAATTATAAATTGTAACACTCAGCTTATACCAATAAATTTTAAAACTATATAAATATATTACCAACACTGTTCTGTAAGTGGAAGAATCATCTGAATAAATGAATTAAATGAAAAAAAATGAAAGAGTAGCCACAGTCCCACCCCTTCTCCCAAAAGACCAGTTCCAGAGAAATACTTAAACTGACCATAATAAAGTATCATCTCACTTACACTAAATTAGCAAAACATTAACAAGCTGGATAGTGCCATATGTGGTGAGGATGGGAAAAAAGAGATTTCATTCACAACTTGTGGAGCATAAATCAGAAACACCTTTTCGAAAAAGACCATGCACACATCCTCCCAACAGATCCACTTCCACTAATATACCCAAGCAAAAGTATATAACTTGGAGATTAACTAGAACATTTATGGCAGTGCTAATTACAACGGCCCAATGTTGGAAATAACCAAGATGTTCATAAACAATAAAATGGGTATGTATATAATGTACTCTTAACAGTAGACTATTATATTTCAGTGAAAATGAATGAATCAGCAGTGGTTCCCAAAATAGTAATGATGCTAATGTATATGATTGTTTGATATTGTTTATTGAAATATGTCACCATTTGAGAGGTCTAGATAATTCAGTGAACTAATACCTCCTACATGACCAATGTAAGGGTAAAATATCCTTTCAAAATGCAAGACACACCAATGGATTTTATTGTTGCAGTTTGAGAAGTTCAATAATATGATTTCAAATTCTGCATTGCAACTAACCTTTAAGAAACTGTTATATACATTTTTGATACTCATAAAAAGCTATCTTAACAAACAATGTATGGACACAGACACTGCAAATACATGGAACTGTATTTGTATGATTCACAAAAACATGCTCCCCAAAGGAATCACATGCTGAAAGTACATACTGACTGAATCCCCTTCTGTGAAATCCAGTAACAGGAAAACGAATCTACAGTGGGAGAGGTCAGAACGTGATTGACCCAGACCGGGGTGCTGGATTTGGAAAGGGGCCCAAGGGAAAATTTTGGTCATTGAAATGATCTTTATTTTCTTTTGGGTGCAAGTTACCTGAGTTTATGCAACTGTCAAGATTCACCAAACTGAACACTTAGGATCTGCACATTTTATTGTACAGTAATTATTATGCTGAAACATAGTTAGGAAGGATTGTGAATGAGTGTGAGCCCAGGAAATGGGTCCTAACATTTGCTTCATCATTCATTCACTTATTCAAAATATAATAAATATTAATTGAGGGCCAACTACAGAGGAGGCACTCTTCTGGGTGCTGGGGGTTCTAGTAAACAAGCTCCGTATTCTTGCCTTCACGTAGCTCACATCCCGGTGGGGGGGAACAATTAACAAAATAAACACAATAATATCAGGTGCAGAAAAAAAGGATAAAGATATTTAGAATAAATGGTTCTACTAAAAAAAAATCACAAAAAAAACCTATCTTAAAAAAGTTATTAAAATATTCCTCCCTTTACAGGTTTTTCAAAAAACTAAAAACAGAAATATGACCCAGCAATTCTACTGGGAATTTACCTCAAGAAAACAAAATCACTAATTCAGAAAGACATATGCACTCTTAAGTTTATCGCTGCATTATACACAATAGCCAAAATATGGAGGCAACCTAAGCTTTTATCAATAGATGAATGGATAAAAGAAAATGTGGTATATGTATATACATATAAATAGAATTATTTCCTAGACACAAAAAAAGAATGAAATCTTGCTATTTTCAACAACCTGGATGGACCTAGATGGTATTACACTAAGTGAAATAAGTCAGAGACATACAAATACTATATGATTTCACTTTTATGTGGTATCTGGAAAACAAAACAAATTAATAAAACAGAAACAGACTCATAGAAACAGAGAACATATTGCTGGTGGCCATGGGGTATGGGAGTGAGAGAATGGGTGAAATAGGTGAAGAGGAAAAGGAATTACAATGTTTGATATCTTGATATGGGTGATGGTAACATGAATGTATACATGTGGTCAAGACTCACCAAGCTTGTGCATTTTATTGTACATACTTCAGTAGAAAACAATCATTTACAAATAAGTAAAATGTTCCTTTTTCTGAATACACAAGAGGCCAGATTTTCTTCTAACATATATATAATATATAAATGAACCACAGATACCATATCTATTGTATTTTAGTCAGTTTTAGTATCTAATATGATACAATCCACATGTACAAAAGATCTATAGGGTCCTCAATAGTTTTAAAAGTGTAGAGTCCTGAGTCCAAAATGTTTCTGAATTGTTGAACTAAGGCACATGCTTCAACATGGATGAAATCTCAAAAACATGTTTAACAAAAGTAATTCAAAGGATACAGTATGAATCTATTTAAACTTCAAAAACAGGTGTAGTAAACAATATGTTGGTTAAGGATACATACCTATGTGATAACTATAAAGTAAGGTAAGGGAATAATCAACACAAAATGCAGGATGACAGTGGTGATGGGGACAGGGACTAAGAATACTTTGCTTCTGGGGAGAGGCACTTACTCGATGTTCTATTAAGCTAGGAACACAGATATGCATATATGTATGTATTTTCAAGTAATACATGTAAACAGCATATTTCACAAAAAAATCTTAGTAGATGAAACAAGGAGACATACCGATTCTCCTAGAAGGAAAAACTTGAAAGAATGTCTCTTCTCAATCTATAAATTAAATGTAATCACAACAATATCTCAACAAGATTTTCTACAGAATTTGAAAGGATGGTTCTAAGTTTCATCTGGAAGAAAAATGCAGAAGAGCGCAAAGCTTTTTTCAAAAGAAAGTACCAAAATACATTAGAAAGCTACAAAATTAAAACAGTATGCCATTCATTAGATAGGTCAAAGAGGGCATTCGGTACCCAATTAGAAAACAAAAAACAAAAAAAACCCCACAAAAGATATGACCCAGCTTAAAATGTTTAACTTTGTTAATAGT